ATGGGATGTTGAACCATGTTCAATAAGTACTACAGAGATTAAAGGTGGAGAGGTTGTTTGTATTCCCCACTCAAGACCAAATGTGATACACACATATTTATACGAATCAAGATATGAGATAGCTGCATTTGTTTTAAGTGTCAAAACATGTTTGGAAACTGTTGCAAGATGGATGCCCCAACACATCGGATACTGTTCTACTTATGAGACATATAACCGGCCCAAGCGGTTGTTTGGCAGGCGGCCCCGGCTTCGTGGACGCGTCCCAGAGGATGCCGGGTGCTGGGGGTGTGGGAGCTCAGGGAGTGGGACCAGGCGCGTTCAAGCATGGTTTCAGAGATTTTCATTTTCAACCTTTGCTTGGGATGTTCATGTTCAATCCCACTGACACGATTTGTTTTTCATGAGTTGAAATTGCCAAGCAGAAGATACTTGCCCATTCTGCTACATTACCCATCGAGCACGCCAGGTAGGCGGTAGGCGCACCAGCCAGACTTGAGGCAGTTGAGATGACAGACATTGCGATATGGTTCTTCTGTTCATTCTTCAAGCACCCTCCCGAATGTCTCGAGCGCACGCGATATCTAATGGAATCAGATGGGCCATGATGTCGATGGACATGAACATGGTGTAGTATTACTCACCAGTTCAATCCCACGTTCGATAAAGTCATGCATAGCGTAGCGTCAAAGTGCCACTGGATATTCTTGAAAATCAAACAGAAGCACCCCATCTGAATGAACGACACTAGCCATAAACGAGTTTGGATATCTTCTAACATGATGTGACTTAACCCCGCTTGACCACTCAGTTGAACATTCCTTTCAAGGCTTTCCATGGTTTTCCATGGCTTTGCCTCCAGAAACGGCAGGCAGACCCCATGTGTTTGGGCTCCTCGGCGCCTCGAGGTTATATGATGCCCATGAACGAGGTGAACTATGGGATTCCCAGTCGCCCCGTGCCGTCGGCCGCGACAACCGCGCCGCGCAGCGCCGCGCGACGCGCGTCTCGCGCGACCGCGTGGAGACGGACACGCGTCCGGCACGAGGGGCGGCTGAAGGGCCCATGGGTGGCTGAAGGCCCCAGGCATCCAAAAGCTGGCTGGACATGTATAAGTTGGACTAGTGCGTGTTTTGGAGTTGGAGAACCTTCATAAGATCCAAGATGGACCAAATCCCACACGCACCAGCACCCCGTGGCATCCCGGCGGGTTCGGGCGAGCATTGGAGCACACCCCCCCGAGCTCTCCGCGAAAGCCTGCGAGCGAGCTCTAATCATCTCGCCGGGTGTAGACTGCGTCGTGGCTGAGGCGACCTTTGCCGGGATGGCCTTGGATGATTTGCATCTTGGAAGAAGATTCCACCGGCACGGGACATTGTTTGCCGAGTTGGACGGACCATGACGGACTCATCGACCCGAGTTCGCGAATACCAACTACACCACTGCCATTGGGGAGCTTGGTTTTGGGGGGTGAAAAGAACGAATCCGATGATGAGGATTTGGGTGGATTTGGGGTCAATGGAATGTCTCAACATCGGATGTGTTAAGGTGTGGTTTGCAGATGTTTGCGGTCACGTCACTGATGCGAGATGCCCTGAATCTGGGTGCGTACTCGGACAAACTGCAGGTGAGGCTCTGAGGGGTAAGCTATCTATGCTCGTGTGTAACAACGGATGTGTTTGGTTTGATCAAGCGATGCACACTCCCCTTTGTCTTCTGCAACGTACTTCATCGAACCCAACGGGGAACCGCACCGGCTTCCCGGGTGCGTTGGAACGGATGGAAATGGTGCCGCCACCCCATAGCATTCCCAACGCCACCCCAACACTAGGAATGCTACCGCAACACCAGGAATGGTACCAGGAATGCTGGTGCCTTGGTGCGTTCCCCAACACCTGCTTTTGCTACGACCAGGTACCAGCGCCAGAACGGCCGGCAGAATGAGAGTGGCTTCGCCAGTCCCGAGCTCCTCGGCCTCTCCGTTGAAGTCGACGTGTCACCCAACAGATTTCCAAAACACTTAGACCGTTTTGCTGACCGTTTTGCATACCCATTTTGATCCAAATATGAGAAGGACGCCCTTGCCAAAGGCGTGTTTTATCTTGTCTACTTCCTTTCGACCAACAAGACTTGAAAGGTTCCTGGTTCCGTACACGTCTACCACACGTCTACCCCCAGTACCTTCAAACGTGCAGCTAAATGTTTTCTATTCATTTTTTGTTTTAAGTAGGGTCATGATATATGTCAGGTCATGATGCTCTTCCATTTGAGGCAATTTCGGCAAGCAGGCCTGCTTTCAGAATCGGACATCAGGAGGTCCTTCTCTTTTGAACAGTGAGACACGGTCGTGTGAGTCCTTCCTTCTGGTGAACTGGGTGTGGGTTCTGCCCTCGATCAGACCTCCGTGCGTTCATTGAACGTGAATGACATGAAACCATAAGCTTCATCGGTTCAAGTCAAGGGTATGTTTTTCTCAAGCTTCCTCGCTAGTCGCCGCACTCAGGAGAGGCCCACAGCACGAGCCCATCTCTCCACATCAGTTCAGAGCCGCTTGGATCAAGTGGAATATCCGGACCGCCCGGATTTTGGTTGACTGGTCATCATATATCTACAATATGCACGGCCATGGAAGGCCTCCCTTTTGCTTGATCTTGCTGCCTCCCTCACCATGGTGAAGCCCTCGCCGACCAAGGGGGATGTCACATGATGTCACCCAGAAAGTGGAACATCGGTGTTTCATGGAACTTGAGTCACTTCAGGATCTCAGGGTCTAGAGTCTAGAGCCTGTGGGGATCTGTTCAAGCAGTTATATTTCCACCCCAATGGCCAATCCTCCTAGCCCAGCCCTTGGACTCCACTCAGCCGATCCGCCTTCGCTGCCCACCTAGCAGCTCGACCACCAGGAATGGCCCCGGCAGAACGACTTCCTCACACATCTCATGCGATGAGGGACGACTCTCACCGGGATCGCCATGTCCTGGCAGACGCGGCACGAGCTTGGGCGGTGGTTGTTTGAAGGTGAAGTCATGTTCAGCATTCAAGTAACAGGTAAGACATGATAGGATAGTGGGACATCATATGATGCCCTTCCTATCATGACTGGAATATGTTCGTCATATTATCAATAGGTAGTAAAAGATAAATAAATACACTTAACCCCATGCTACCCTTATATCCGTGGAAAGTAGGCCTCAAGAGAGGAGTGGAAACTGTTTTACACGTTATATGTTAAACAAGAGCGGATGTGCAGACTGCATGTTTGCCGGATAGAGGGTAACATGGACTAACGTGGATATATATATATATATAGTCATACATTACATGCTTGACTCACCAAAAGAGTTCTCCTCAGATTGATCACATTACTCATTACTCTATTGGAGGGACTGACTGTACCAATATGTTTTTACGTTGTTTGTGGGGAAGCAAGAACTATGCCGACCCGACAAATGATTTCCGTCTGGAAGAGTCCGGATTTCACAGTGAGCCCACTTTCATGGACGACCAACAATTGAGATGTGCGCACTTTCATGGTGATGCATCCTGTGATATCCTGTTTTTTTTTCTGATGCAGAAAGGGTTGACATTGGACTTCGTTTCACACAAACCTATTCGAAATGGTCAACTCTGTATTGGGGTCGACAACCCAGGGGCCCAATTCGGTCGATTCGGGTCGGTTTGAATTGGACAACATGAAGCACCGAGGTTACTACTGTAACGTGCATGATCATAGACATCCATAGACACAGACGAACAAGAAGAAAACACTCTGATCACTTTGTTCTTTAGGCCCAAGACTCTTGCCTTTGGAGCAGCACGGCGAGGTCGTTGATAGGTGGACGAGAGTGAGGTTGTTGGGATGTAGGCCATTGGCTATAGATACATGGTGTGCATGTAGATCAGACATGACCCATGTTTTATTAGATGCTTGCCAATTTGATGGATGATTTGTACTCAAGAAAGGGGGTTCACTCAGGTTCTAGGGCTGAAGTTAAGGGCAAGTTTCGTTTGACTGGAACCCTCCAATTTGCTGAACAGAATTCGTACGTTAATTGAACAATTCTTCCATTCAGTCTTACTTATATATACTTATGAGTTTCAGCACTAAGGCATTCATTATTGACCATAACTGAAGGTGAGCGAATTTGGTGCGCGGCATAGTAAATTAGTACGTATATAAATCACATTTCTGCTTCGGACGCGGGCCGACACACAGACCCGTCATTGCTTGACCAGTACGAAACACACACATTCGACATGCTTGAGACAGTATCTCAGATGTCGATCCAACCGATTGAATGCAGTCCGAGTGACGTGAGTCCGACAAACAAACAAACAACATTAACACAGTCTCAGGTCCGAGTCTCAGGCGAAGGCTTTTTGGTCTTCTAGCCGTTGGTTGGTTTCAGGAGCTGTTGGTTCGCCGGGGTTCATATCCATAGAATATCAACCAGCTCAAGACCGTTCGGAGTGACGACGGGGAACACACCAGATCGAGTCATGATTCCATTTGTTCGCTCGGTCGGTGAAGCTTACGGTATGCTGGTTTTGACCCGCTGCCATGCAACCCAATCATACCCCATCATTATTGTTAAATAATGTGTCCAGAAACTCAACAACACACAATCATTTCAATGTGTCTTGCTTGAGTGACTTGATGTGCCACGTTCGACCTCGCCGTGGCCGCCTCGTGAGAAACGCGTGACTTGCTGTCTCACCGCTCTTGCCGTCTCCTCCACTGTCTGGAGGGACTTACATCGGTGTTCGAAAAGTGCTGTGATCGCACATCGTGGTGGATGAAGTAGAGACAACTCGGTCTTAGGGACCCCACCAATTTGCCAGGCTGTTGGACGTCCACCTGAAGGAGAACTCTCCAGGCTCCCTTAAGACCTCCAAACCCCGCGGGGGGTGTTCGGAAGGGCATGGGGACCGAGCATCGCTGGAAGCGTGTTTGGTGAGGTGCATGGGACCGAGTGTCACATTTGACTTTGATTGCTGAGGTGCACCCAGATCCGGAGCGAGACAGAGAGTCCGGTGGCTCAGTGGCTCAGTGCCGAACGACAGCCCATCATGGGAGACCATGGATCAGCGGGTCTCAGGGTCGGAGGGCGGAGTGAAGACCTGAAAACATGTTTCAGGGCACTGAACCCATTCTATGAGAAGGAGTGCGCGTTGGGAAAATGTGTTCACTTTTTCGTTATTTGTCGTGTCCTTTTGTTTGAGACCCATTGAACTGAAGCATTTACCTTCTACGATTCGACGTACACATACTGTATATACACCAAGTTGATGGTGTTCCAAAGAGGTTTTGATGGGTTTCCCATGACACGCTGATGATCCACACCATGGCTGTTTGCTTTCAGGCTTCGTGTTGCCTCCTGCTTTGCTTTTCGGACACATGGTACCTGCCGTTCTCTCAAACCTGATTCTTCAATTCTTGCAGGAGGACAAACGACGAAACCATGGCAAGTGTTTCGCATGACCTCCACCTACAGGTCAAAGACCTCATTTTACTTGAGTTCATCAGTTCATCATGCGCACTACTCAACAGGGTACAGGACCAGGTGTTGCTTGGTTTCTGAAGCCAAACACGTTCCTGGAACCCTGTCATCGTAACAAAGTGTTATTCTGAATTCCACTGTGTCCAGATGTTGGAGAAAAGTCATGTAGACGTTTGGTCATATTGTCAACCAGTATGTCAACCATACGTGAGAGGTTTTTCCATGTCTGGGTGGGTTGAACATGACTCACGAACATGGAAGTGAAAAAAAAAGGGGCTCCTGCAAGACTCCTTTCCAGAAACAGGTTCCCATGTTCCATTTCTGGACGTTTTCATCGGAGTATTTGGAGAACCGAGCGCCATGACCAGAAACCGCGTAAAGCATCGGATGAAGGTGCTTGAGCCGTCGACGATCCGTCGACAAAGCCGCTGTGAGGGCCCAGTTTCAAGCTCCCGTGCGCTCCCTGCAAAAGGCGCCTGGGTGGACTGGTGCGGTTCGTGCGAAGTCTCGAGAATTCGTGCGAACGTGGACGACTTACTGCCAATGAGGACGGAAGATGAGGGTGTTGTTACTTGTCTTGACAACTGAAGAGCTTCTGAGTAGGAAGCAGCACAGAAAATCAGGACAAACTTGTTCAGTTCAAGGATAGGAGCTGCATTTGGACACAATGATCAACAATGCATCCAGGACATCCAGCGCCACTACGCACAGCGCTTGCAGGAGATTTCAGGGTGAGCGGCAGGTCGGGTCAGGTCCAGCTTCCGTTGGGTCAGGTACTTCTAGGCCAGGCCATGCACTTCCCTCTTGGAGGCGTTTTGTTGTTCATTTGGGCGATTCAACGAGACAAGGCCACATCCATTTGGACAGGTTGATCTCAGCGCGATGCGGCGCGAAGAGATCTTCGGTGCTTCGACTCTGGCTCAAATCGGTTCTGGCATCGTTCTGGATTTGGGTAATTAGTAATGTTTTATACTGGGTCACCATTTTTTCCATAAAGAATGATGCCTTTGGACCAGGACCATCCAGTCTGGGTGTCCTGGCTGGACTACCCTACACTACCATCGTATAGGCTTCCAGACAGGGCACCCCGACTGGATGGTCCAGGGAGTTTCCTTTACTTGGAGACATTTGATCAATAGGCCCGGGGTGTGTAGCTCAGTTCACGTAAGGGTGTCTCCGCATTGAAGGATCTTCCAGCATTCAGTTCGGGTGGTTATTGGATAGAAAATACATCTTCAACGGGGTCTATCAACCACCCGAACTGGGTGGTGCTGGTATTTCTGGTGTTTACGAAAACACGCCACAGTTCGGAAGCAAGCACCGCTTTTGGACCTGCGCTTGCAAGCTTGGACTTGTGTTGCACGACCAATCGATTCTTTGCTGGGTATACAAATACACATCTGGTGGGACGGAGAACCTGTTCGTCCGGCTGAATGTTCATCACCCCTCAAATGAAAAGAAGAATGAGGGAGTTTGGATAGTATCTACATATACATACATATCTATATAATATATATATATATATTCTATATATCTTACGATATCCTAATAGGTGTATATAACATAACTGTTTGACATTCAATATTGGGTCGGATTGACCTGGTCATGTGACCTTAGATTGAAGACCAATTGGTTTCTTTTTGACAACCTTTGCACCACGGTCGCTTTGTCCCGTGTTAGGACCTCCGCAATGGCTGCATGGCTGAACTCGGTTCGGTCTTGGAGGGGAGTCGCCTGCGCGTGCGGCGAAGTGCCGTCGACTGGGTAGGACCGAGCGCGGTCTCCCCATGGGTCTCTGAACTTGTCCCCCAAAAGCGAATCAAACATCCATCGAGCAAAACAAACATCTATCGTTCTTTGGAGAAGAACCGGGAGAGTCTAGTGGGCTCACAAGTCGGACACATTAGGGGCCTGGTGGCCTGGTGACTTCGCCGGCGCTCGGCGCTCGGCACCCTCGGTCGCCGTCGATGCCGTCGATCCGAGGCACGGCCACGTCCTCCGCTCGACACTGCTCCTTTGAGGCGAGCGAGAATGCGAGCGAGCGAGAAAGCGACAGAGGGCGAGGTGGAAGGGAAGATGAGACTGTAAGATGTTGATGAATGAATACTCATTTCGATGGTAAAACCTCTGAATGGGGTTATATAATATGTGCATGGTTTACAGGCTACATTTTGCTTAACTGGACCCCTTCCACTTTTGCCATGCACCTTCTCTTGGACGGGAGGCACCGGGACCATCGGCACTGACTCGGCACCGACCGTTCGCCGGTTTTACCCGCTCGAAGCCGCTGGCTGGCTGGGGCGGTTGTCAATATATTTGGTCCGGAGGCCTAGTGGAAAAATGGGAGCTGCCTTGCTGAGCTTGGCGCCGTATCAATTTCAAGCGAACGTTGGAACAGGTGATAGACAAACCGTTGAACAACAGTAAATCTAAACAAACTACATAAACCAAACCCACTATTCACACACAATGTTATGTCATGTTATGTCATGTTCATTTTTCAATGAAACATACCATGTTCAGACCTCCTGCCACACATGCTCAAAACTAAGTTAAGGCCCCTAGTTTGGCCGTCGCAGGTGAACATCGCCCAGCAAGGACATCGCCTCGCCGCCTCGCGCACACGACGTGCACCCCGGGGGCCAATCGCTCGCGCGTTGACCGTTGTTTTGCTCGGCTGCCAGGTGGCTCTAGCTAGTGTCTTTCTTCCTCCTAATAGATCCTAATAGTATATACTGACTAGCCTTGCAAACATGGTAATTATCCTGACACTTACCCACTTAGTTTTTGCACAACTCACTTAGCCTCCCCTTAACTATCATCGCAACCAACCTGATAGATGAAGATCATGTTTGACGACCTTTTGTATAGCTTGTAGTGTTAGTCTGAGGAGAAGATATGTTGCTGCTACAAGGACGAGAGATGGTGACTTTTACTTGCTTAGATTCTGTTTATTGGAGCCTGGCAAATGGGACTACCATCTAATATAGATTTCTTTGACCACTTAGTTTCACATGACTGCAAATGCATAAATGAGTACTGGACCAAACATACCACTTACCCAACAGATGCAGATTTAACACGAGGAATGGAACATTGAGAAGGATTCGGAAGGAGACAAACAACGACCTTTTGACAAAAGAGCTAATTTTGACAAATTTGTTGCGGATCAACTTGCAGAAGGGTTTATATAGTTATTTAATTTGATTTTATCGTGCATCAAGATACTTAGCTATGTAATCTTATGTATATAAGATCCTATACTGTCTACTGACGTGCATGCGAGATATTTGTGTACAGAAAACTCTTCAAGGTCAACGACTTCCTGTCCGACCTCGGGTCGTTAGTGAGCATGCACTGTAGACTCTTGATTGATAACCCTCCCATTTGGATGGTAAAACCATTCAAAAACTGTTCGTCACCACCATCGCGGCCCATCCTGAACGAAGTCCCCTGTTAGGACAGAGCGCACGTCACTGCTGACACTCATGGTGGAACAGTGCTATTGAAACGAAGTGAAAAGGACCTGAAGTGAAATAGCCACACACACAGGCAAGCACGAAGAGACCTCAAAGGAGGATATTTTCTTTGAGCATCCAGATTCCATCAATGTAGCTAACTCGGACAGCTCCTCAATAGAAAAGTGGGGCACTGCTCCGATTATAGCCCCTTGCAGAAAAGTGCGACCTTCAGACATGTGAGTCTGTAGGCAAGTGCGGCCTGGGAAGATGCCATGCGAAGGAAGTTGTCAATGTATACAAACATTCGCCGTAGCCAAAAAGACAGGTCGCAGAACGTGATGTCCTCTCCTGTACATGTCTCCAAAACAAAACCTCGTCTGCGGAATAAACATGCAAGCTCCATATAGGAGGTGCAATACTGAATACCAACTTTCCATGCAAGAGAAGCGGTAAAGCTAAAACATGTAGCAACAAATGTAGCAATGTTTTTCCAAGCTCTTTGATTCATATGTACCCGTCGACCTGACGAAGCTGGCCCACCACGGCCGTACCCACAGATTTGTTTGCTGCTCACGTCTGCGCCAGGAGGGCCAGCGGAGCCAACGACGCGAGAGGCAGCATGGGAGAGCCTGGACAGGAATCGGATCAGGTTGACCAATTGAGCTGTGGAGCTGCTGACCTACCCGTTGGAGATCAGGGTTCAACTGATGAACACAGTTTGACATGTGGAATTTTTGCCATCGCTTCCATCGCAGAGGGCTGGTGTATTGACTTGAAGCTGGTGTATCGACTTGAACGGTTTTGTTCAGGAGGCGTTTGCAAGCTAATATGTTTCACGGATGGACCTTGGGTACGAGAGTGGCTCGTGTAGCCCCGACCAAGTGAGACAAGTTCATGTTGAAAATCCTCTATAGGAGGCCTTGTTTGGACGTGGAGCTGGCTGTCCCAGGTGTGTTGGATCTATTAGCTACCCACTAGCAGACACAAGTACGTTCCAGAGCAGTGCTGGGTATAAGTCAACACTAGTAATAGAGATATCATAAATAAGTCGTTTGGATTGCACTGGATGCATGGTGGCGGAGCAACTGCAACCTGCATTTGTACGAATTTTCTGGGTACCGGCTCACTTTGCTTTTTTTGTGGACTATCAATGTCACAGGTGGCCGATTGAATCAGCCTGGCCATGGCCGAAGCCAAGTTTAATTCCATCATTCACAGCTTGGAGGTATCAAAGGCTCTCGGCGAATAGTAAGAACATGTCAGAATCAATTCTGGGTGATCAATTTCCGGTTGTGTTGGAGGCTCAGGAAACGGGATGTTTTTGCATGGCAAAGAGATGACTGCAGGATGAAACTAGGGGTTTCATCAGCCAGCAAACTTTGGGAGATGCTGGTCCCCGCCAGAAGTGAATGTGACAGGCCTGGCGCTGAGAAGTTCTGGTGAGGAACATCTCATTAGGTTCAGTGAATTGGCAGCAGATTGAAGAAAGACAAAGAACTAGAGCTAGTGTATGGAGTGTATGGGCAGTGAGAGTGGAACACACAAGACCCCACAAGTGTAACTCTCATTTCCCCCCTTTTGGGCATGTGGTTCATCAGGTCCAGCCAGTCGGTCTATCTCAGGATCAGATCAGAACATCAAAGACTTGGTGACAGGGACCGTGTGGAAAACTGGGACATGAAGAAAGCCAAAGGCTCCCTCTGGACCCAACCCTCATCCTTCATACCAAACGAGAATCTCTTCGGACTGCGGCCATCGCGCATTGTGTGATGTGGACTCTGTGGCGGCCTGGATGAATTTCTGTGGAAGCTGGGTACAACGTGTTATACTGTGGGGCGGCACATGTCTTACTTCGAAGACTTCCTGCGAGCATCTAAACATGTATATTCCGCTCTCATGTTTGAGGTCCAAGTTGTGCGTGCACTTTGCTGTCATCGAACAGCGCCTCCTGCGTGTTCCGGCACATCGCCTCCGCTAAGCCTCCACAAGACGTGGAGGGCGGAATCGGCGGTTCCCCGCCTCCTCTGAGCCGAAAGTCGCCCGGGGGGGAAAAAGAGGGAGAAAGGCGGCGTTTCTGCTGGCTGTAGGACGAGACGGCCAGCGGGAAGTAGTATGAAGGAGTCCCCAAACAGACTCAGAGGATCATGGAGTCAAATTGGCAGAATCCCTAAACGGCTAAAGAGACGGAGATCCCCATCATGGTCCATGGCAAGTCTATGGGGCGTAAAGGAGTCCAGTTTGCACGGAATTTGCAGCACCCAGAAAGGCAGATTTCAGTAATCCCGAGTACCTATTAAAAAACACTAAAAACACACCATGTCCGAAACCCTAAATAGGGGGAGTGAAATACGGGTTATTTTTGCTATTTAAATTACCGCCCTTTCAAGCTGCTGCTAAACTACCAACATGGTCGATTTTTTTGGGGTAGTGTTTTTTTCCAAAAGCAACCCTAGCTGCCCACCTTTGTCCACCCTGTTTGTCCACCATGACACACCGCGTTACACCAGCAGGTTTTCCTTTGCATGGCACAGCGACATCACCTTTCGAAAGCTTTAGTTGTTAGTCTAATGAAGAATCATTATTAAAGGTTTTTGTCAAGGGAAAAGGAAAGACGATCTGAAGGCCTTTTCAATTTTTGATACGAGCTTAATAGAGGATTTTATATATAAACAAATCCTGGGATATGTCTTGGTTTTGAAGCTCTTCCCAGGTGTCTGCACGAACTCTGCACTTCAAACTTCACAAAGCGCTGCGCCTCCCAGGAAATCTGCATTTCATACGTAATCAATGATTATTCAAAGGGAGCCTACCACTGACCCTATTTTGGACAGCCCCGATTTCAGGGACCGCTCGCCTGGTCGGATCTCAGTGGTTGATCTCGGTACAAGCCCTTTAAGACCCCAAATACGGGGAAGAGATCCAACATGGAACCTGAAAACTTGGATTTGTGGAAAATGTCTTTCAAAGGTTCATGTTCAGGTTCCATGTTCATCTTCCCAGGTGGTTGGAAGCTTCTGCTTCTCCTTCCAACGGGCGACCGGTCGAGGTCGTGAACATGGCAGGACGACATCACGGCGTTTCTTCTGGACATCGTTCGGGTGAACGAAGTGCTGCGGAAACAGGTGATGGACGGCCCACGTTTCGTCGGACGGACTGTAGGACGGGTGCGGGATGGGCACGGGATGGGCACGCCAGCGACTGCAGGGAGGGCACGGAGGAAAGGTGGTGTCAACTGACCGAAGGGTCCATGAATATTGAGTGATGATGAGTGATGGTAATTATAATATATAAGTAAAAGAGTGTCAATCGATGCTCAAAGTGATGATTATTGCAAGGCTGATTTTGGATTTTGCCTTTACACTAATTAATCATATTAAATCGATATTGAATCCAATTACGCATGATACAGTACCAATCACCGGTGAGTTCCTGCTGTAGCTTGGAGGACTTTGTTCAATTCCACGCTGTTTTGTTATGATTTTTTGCTCTTCATGCCAAGTGGCGGTGGGAAGCCCCAAGGACCGAGAGCTCGATGGTGACCATGTTGGTGCAGCAAGTAAGTGGTGGTCGAGGTCAAAGTGCGCCTTCCACTATGCTTCCCTCCAACACATGGCAAATCCAATCAATCTTCAGATGTTTTTGACGGTTTGACTACAGCAAGTTTGGAGGGGCCACTGCCCGGAGGGGAGGCTTCTCAGCTGTTCTTCTTCCCATCACGACGAGCTGAACCCCCTCCGCCCTCAACCCACCAGATTTGACGTCATCACCGTCGGACGAGACCTCCCAGTCGACAGCGATGTCACCATGTTGGAAATCTCATCATCAGGTCGAGAATGGGCCGCCCGTTTGGTAAACGGACGTGAAAGGACAAGGTAGACAGGTAATCGGTAAGTTGACCAGGACCCTTCATATACATCATATACACTCTAAGCCCAGTGAGTCTTTCACTCTAAACAGCAACAGCCAGGTGGAGAGCGGGGCTCAGGAGCACATCACTGCTGACTTCATTAAGCTGCTTCAGGAGAACCAGTTTTGCCTGATCTGTCGAGTTTCAGTCGTCGCCTCGTAGCGACGGGTGTCGACACTCAGCTGACCTGCCAGCTTTGTTGAAGGCAGATAGTTTTGGTGTTGAAGGCACATGTTTTGATAAATTTGCCTCCCACGGGGTGACTGAGACATCCATTGGGCCAGCCCTTCGGTCACGTGTCAGACGACGGGGCGAGTCCCACCCCACCGCCATTCCGATGGTCACTGCCTGGGTCACCGGCGAGTACCACATCTTCACCTTGTCCGACAACACCATCATCGGCATTCCTCAGGCGTGCGCGTCGAGCGACGGGGTTGGGGGTTGGGGGGTCTGGGAGCTGAGACCGCTGAGAGAGTGGGGGAGGTAAGAAAGGTGGTTCACTGGCACATTGGGTGGAACGCCACCGTGGAGGTCTACTTGTGCCTGAAGATTTGGCACTCCGCGCTTGACCCTGGAGTCGCGCTTGACTCTGCGGGCACTCGCACCAACTGCTGCGTGACGCACCCAATGTGCAAGACCTTGTCATTAGCCAACCTATTCTCCAACTGTCCTTGCATGGACCGAAAGCTGTGGGAACGCTGGCCATCCCACAGACATCGTCCGGCGTTGAAAGCGAAAGACACTTTGCGTGGCTTTCCCACTCACGGCCATTGGTTCTGAAGAGCTTGTGTGAGGAGAAGGGCTGCACAACCGGCATCAACCGACCAGCATCCGTCATGGAAAAAGGGGACAGCTCGACGGCTGCAGGAATTGTGCGGCTCGGAAGGGAAGCTCACATGAGCTCACCCTCGCGAAGTGGGGTGCAGTCGCCGGGAGAGGCCACGGTTGCCGGCATTGCGCCTTGTGTTTCCCTTTGGCAGGCTAGCGGCTACAGTCTTTCTGATTTGCACTTGCTCCACAGTGTCACTTCTGTGCTAGAGATTTCATGATTACAGATAAGATCAGATAAGATTTTGTTTGGTGCTTGCCTCCTGTGCCAAATTGGTGGGGAGGAGACCAAGGAGGAGGAAGGAAAGACCATCAGAGAATTCAAGAATCCATGAGAAACCAAGGAAAGACTTCACCCTGTAATGAAAGCTGGAGAGGCTAAAAAGTGTTGACACCCCTTGGCTTAGGAACTCGTTGGCAGCCCCTGTTTCTGGCGGCAATGGTTCCCATTGTTGGGGCGTTCGCGAAACCGTTCTTTCTTGGACCCATTGGGCTGGTTAGAATCTACGAGGGCGAGGAAATGAATTGCGATATTAAATCAGAATGGTGATTGCCTTGATAATGCCTCAAATCCTTGCAATTGCATCTCATGATCCATCTTTAGAAATATTTCCTTACATCAAGAGGAAAGATTTCCTGCTCAACACAACGCTCCTTCAAATTGTCGCTGAGGAAGGCTAAGATTCCTTTCCACGATCGACCTAAATGGACTACCAGCCCAAGAATGCCTCAGAAATAGGTCCCTGTCCCCGGAGAATCCTCCTCAGAGTGGTATTGGTCGGGTGTGTAGGTTGGACGTGTAGATTACGAAGGATCATCTGGCGGCGAATTAACAAACATGGGTTTTCATATTGTTTCTTGGATGGGCTTTGTCTTGAGAGTCTAATGCTGATATTTACTATTAGTATGTTCTTGATGCAATATTCCAACGTTTCTGCAGTCATCCCCGGCAAAGAGTACCCTAAGAAGATCTACGGAGTGCAAACCATCCAGTTCAACCCCCTACCCACAATGATCCAAAAATCGCTCTCAAGCCACCACGTTCTTTTTGCACGCTTAGTAGTACGGAGCGACCGCTCCTATAGTGACCGCGTCCTTGATAGCGATACCCTTTGCTCCGTTCGTAGCGTCGTAGTAAGGCCAGGGTCGCCCCGTTCGGTTCGCGTCCCGTTCGGTGTGGGGTCCCAGCTTGTGCTCGCGCGTCCCAGGCTTGCACCAAGTCCAAGCGACCTTTGAAGTCCATCCGCGCCTTGGTTGGAACAGGTCGAGGCCAGAGGCGGATGGCATACAGGTCGAGGCCAGGGGCGGATGGCATATCCAACAAGAAGGAACATGGTGGAATACACCGAGAAACGCTTAGGGGAAGGGCCAGGAAACATCCGGACGCTGAAAAGCGCCCGAAGTAGACCTTCCCGAAGTAGGCAGGTTTGATTCAACGTCCATCCGGAACATATCCGGTCCGAATGGGATGGGATGGGATCCAATTCTTGGGTGCAAAATGGATGTCTCAGGTGACCAAACATCTAGCAATTGGTTTCGAACGGAGCTCCACTGAACGTGCCTTTACCCGAACGCCTTTCGCCCAGCGCCGCGCATCGTCCAGCGCTCCAGGTGAGCGCTTGAAGTCCAAAGAGGGGCGCTTGCGAGGGACGCTCATGGGCAAGCGCGCCGGGGGACCCAGAGAGGAGACTAGGGCTACACATGAGGGGCACAAAAATTGTATCTCAATATTATGAGTGTCCTATTTTGAAAAGGAGACACCCGTAAACTACCCCCAACCAACTTTCCTTCTTCCACGGGGTCGATCTGGAAAGTTTGCCCTATATTTTTATACACACCCATATATTGGCACTGAGGGGTGTGTAAGCGGCACTGAAGAAAATGTGAGGACGCTGAGTTTGTTCATCTTTTTGCAGATTTGAATCATGGCCCGCAGTAGAACGGCACCTCGAATGTTCTCAGAGCTGGACACGTTCAAAACATTTTAAAAAAAGAGAAGACAGGTCGGTCATTAGCGACCACCTTCCAAGTCGAAACCGCCTTAAATATATTGTTTGGCCCTTTCAACCGGCCGCTTTCGTTTGTGGCTTAGCCGAACGAACACCTGGGCGCGGAACCGCCCGTCCAAGAAACCGAACTGAAGACGGCACCGTCCCAGGTGGACTTTTGTGCTCGGAGTGTCATCGGTGGCGATCCGAACCTGGATACGGAACAGGTGGGTGTGCCAAGGCCCGGTGGCGGCACAGGCGGCGATGCGCGCGGCGACTTGCCACTTGCCACCTGATGGTGGCAGATGGCAAGAGGTTCAGGTTGGTTCAGGGCTTCGAGAAGCCGCAAAATGGATGCCCAGTGTTGGGGATGGGGTAGGGGTCACCACAATTGCCGACGTTTGCCGTCTGACTCCAGTCTGTTCAAGGTGCCGCTGCAAATGGAACCGAAAATACCAAGACCACCGAATTGGTGTCCAATCTCGAGATCCCCAACGAGTGTGGGGTAGTGATGGGTAGTTCATTGGACACCCATTGGATGGTCATGTACTGTATTGGTTGTGGGTTTAGGAAACGAGTTTGTTCCGGTTCTTGTGTTCCCTTTGAATGCCGATTGGACCGAACCCCCGAGCCCTGTCCTGGGAACTGTGGCCTCTGGATTGGAGGCCCAGCGACAAACAGGCATAGACACCGGTGTACCTGGTCAGGACATCATCATGACTTCTCCCACGACAGTACTATGACAGTATTATATGGACTGCGTACTGTGTTATAAGAAAATGCATGAACTTTCTAAATCTGATGTTTCTATATGTTTCTAAATAGCATCTTCACAGAAATCCAGGGGCCCCGCAGGTTCACCTCCAGGAGTCTCTTCCTCACTCCTCGCGCATCGAAACCATCGTTCGCTTCGGACCTCGTTGTGCTCACCACATCGCCAGGTCCATCGCCTTGAATCTGACCTTCCCCGAGCGGGTCACGCCGTTGCCCGAAGGAAGTTGGGTGGGCCCCACACTGGGAACCGGTTGGGAGGATGCGGACCATGCGGAACTCGCTGAAGGGGGGGCTTGAATTCGGGTGGCCAAAGGCCCTTCCGGGCCCTTTCAACAATTGTCTGAAACACTGCCGGGTTCAATCTTTGGAACTGGTTAAAATCTATAGGGACCACATGTCCTTCCAGACCAAGTCTAGGGTCAGGAGATTGTTCTTGTTGTTACGGATGTTCAGGTGCGGTGAATCGCCCAGGGTGAAAAAACCCTCCACTGGTTCTGCGCCCACTGGACCTGTGTGGAAGACAGGAAGACAGCTGATTCAGAATTCAATCAAGGTCACACTTGGTCAGGGTGTAAATCGGAGAAGGGACAGATGTCCGCCGGGTGACTGCAAAAAAAAACAGCAACAAGTAAGTGTCATTAGCCGATGGAGGGATGCAGCATGATGCAGCTTTTGGAAACCCGAAAGGTAGTTTTGTGGTCTCAGTCAGAGAAGAAGAGAGCAACAACTGAACTGAACCTCTCAAAACCATGCAATTTTGTGGGATTCTTGTGGAAGCTATCGAGAAAGGGACAAGTCTTCCGGAACATAATGAAAGCGGCATCCAAAATCAAGCCCGGATGTTCCTGGGCTCGGTGACCTTTAGACTCTTTAGACTCCAAGCTCGGTGACGCTTGAGTTCGGGCGGCTTGGCCTGGCGCCAGACGCCTGAGGCTGAATGTCGCTCACATGAAGAAGCTGGTGGTGAACGGTCCCATCGACCACCCGGGCGCCAGGTCGGGTTTGGGTCGGACGCGAGGTGGGTTGGAGTCGGTTTTTGTCTTTGTCAAAGTTCAGTGGTGGCTGCCATGGGCCCATGGCTGGTGTTTTTGTACTGCTAGCGATGTGAAGGAGATGGGATGGTATTAGCTTTCAGATGCTTTCAGAATCTTTCAGATATTTGCTTTCGGATGCGGATAAATTTTTTATCGAATGCATAGTTTGGGAAACATGCTGTGTAAGCCTCTTGAATCATGCGGCTCAGATCGGCTCAGTAAATTTTTTCACGTTCCTTCAAAGAACCTCGCATGCAGCTCCCCAGCCAGGAAAAGAGGTGTCCTTTTTTTTACCCTTTTCTGAACTCTGGGTGCCCAAGTGCTTCTTGTTTCCAAAAGCAAGTTCTGGCACAGGTTAGGAGTTCCATGTCGGGAGAATTTTTTGACCCGTGTGAGATAAGTGAGTGGGCACTGCACAGCTACATATCCCTACCCTCCAACCATCTCTTTGAAGCCCTTCAACAACCACCTCGATGTCAGCCGATGCCATCAACGCTTTCTCAGTCTCCGTGACATGAAACATTCGCCGCGGCCGTGAATGGCCCAGCTCGATCGTGGATCATGGCATAGTGGGAAAACAATGGAAAAACACCGAGTATGAGTAACCCCAATTACGGGTGACGGAATATGTCCAACTCATAGTCTGAAAGACGCTGAGTCTTTCTTTGCAAAGCCGGATTCAGAAAGTGCACGGACAGTCAGGACGGTAGAGACCGCTGGAATGAAAAGATATTGTTCGATCAACATTTTACTCAGGAAAACGTCAGGTCAGAAACATGCCAATTTGTCCGGTGTGTGCAAAAGAAGCACTGGAAACACCTCGAAGGCACTTCATTACCCTAGAGTCTCAATTGGAATTCTCAGTCACCATTGCAGGTGGGTACCAAGCTCTACAACAACTTCAGCAGCACTACCAAGGAAAACATGTTTCGACATCACAAGAGAATGAGCGGAAGTGTAGAACCATCATTCTGAAAGCAACATGGAACGCAAGATCTTTCACGTGTCCGTGTGGAACCTTCTTCGAACGTCGCTGTGCGGATGGGAAAAGCCAAGAAGGGCAAGGCCAAGGCCAAGCCCAAGCACCGACCCTCCGCAGATCGAGGCGACCGATGGGAGGGAGGTCGAGGTCGCGATGCTGCTGCCTGGGACATGGGACATGGGTTGACGAAAGATAACCCAAATAATTGAAAAAACAATTGGAACACATTGGACAAAATTGAGCACGATCAATATGAATATGTATTCAATAATTTAACATTTCTAGCATGTTTTTTTGTCTTTTTTTGGGAGTGCTTGCAGATGTAGGAATCAATGCAGCAGCGCTTGCAGATGTAGGCTGCCACAAACTACGCCTCACCAACTTTGGTTCTTCACTGGCCCCACCTCAACCCACCAACTACCAGGACCCTTAGTGTTGGGTCACCAATAGGCTACCCTACACTACGTAGGGATCTGCATTGGACACTGGACACCCATCGTCGAATGGTCCAACTAGACTCACTAGACCGAGGCCGTGCTGGTCACGGCGAGGACGATGAGCCTCTCGTAGGAGATGAGGAGCGGCGGGCCGAACGCCGAACGCCGGTTCGCGCAGCTGTCGGTCGTTCGCTGTTGTGGAATCTTCTTAGTTGCCTTGCCATGGTGGGGTGTGAAGAGGATATGACCTGTACCGACCTGTACCCCTGTACTCGTACGTTTTTTTGGTTCAAGTCCATGTTTGTACAGGAGCCTGTGAAGCAGTGGGGTAGGGTGTTTCAGCGGTACTTTTTGAGACTGATTTCAAACAAGCGCAAATGAAGAAACATAAAGATGGGGTCGTCATGACCATCACGACCTGCAGCTAGGTCGTGGCCGTGGCCATTGGGTTTTACATGGTTTTGCAATGTCTTAGTATGTTCTCCTTCTATCACAGCTCCATGAGGGGCTCATCAATTTTTTCTCTCGAACTTTGTGAGTGGGTCCAATTGCAGTTGTTCATAAGAGAGAATGGTCACCAATTGAAAAGCCTTCCAATCAGTGTCAGACATCAACAAGCCCTACGCCCGGCAGCGCCCACTTTCCAAATCTAACCAACCGATGCTCAAAATTCACATTGCACACTTTCCAAATGACACTACAAGTGTGTCCGACCTCCCCAATTTGTTCGTGCTTTGTGATCGACAGGACTGGCTGGCGCTGCAGCGCAGCATGCTGGAAGAGTTTGCCGCCAAGAAGGAGTCCGCCGAGGCCTTGCCAGGTCAGTCATGTAGATCACATTTGTCATGCCTACAGCTTCCTATGTGCATAGACTGTTTCGGATTGGATTGTGAATCTGAACATGTTCACCGTGCTGCCATGCTGAATACACCAACAATGGTTTGTTTATGTTTCTTCAAGTCGCAAGAAACACAAAGAAACGACTGTCCTGCTGAACACTTGTTTCTCTTTTCTTGAACATTAGTTTTATAACCTTTTGTAATATCGTTTGATGACTCAGAACACAATTCTTTTGATTGCAAACGTCGGAGTTTCTTGAGACACTGCAAGGCCGCTGAGACGTGCATGCCCACCGAGGAGGGCGGGACAGAAGCGACGGCGAGGAGCGACGGAGATGTCTTCCAAGTGCGGCGGATCGATTTCCTCGGGGAGGAGGCCGGGGAAGCCACTGGGGCCGTTCAACGGGGCTGGGAAGTGGTGAGAGCAGGTGAGGCGTGGGGGTCACGAGATTTGGAGCTTCAAGACAGTCTGGTGTGCTAAAAAGGCCACATGAAGACGAAGAACTTAGTTCCAGCGCCCAAAGCCTGTGCATCTAGTCATAGACCTGCTGGTTGACCTCAATAGAACCACGTCGTGTGGACTTCATTGGATGTTGTTAGTCTTCTTCCAATCCGTTGGAAAGCGATAGGTTACTTAAGGTTACTTACTAAATCCATTGACAAGACTTTCGTGAACAAGTAATTTTGACCCCCCACCACAAAACGCAAAATGCATGATGCTCATGTTCACTCCCCACCACTGCCACGCCTTACCCAAAATCAAGAGAGCGCCAATGAATGGAATGCAGATTAATTTAGGTATTGGCTATGGTATGACTTGTGACATTATGATTCCTTCCTTACTACCACTGTTGAAGCTATGCAGTCTGATCAACCAACCTTTTTCAAGTAAATCCTGGGCAGCCAGTACTGGTGGAAACTCAGTGGGTTTCTATACCGGGTTTTTGACATGCTCCCCATAGTCACTAAGTGAGACTAGTCCATCAGAATCTGGAAAACCTTGGCTCAGTCACGTCGATGGTTTCAGTGCAGGTGCCGATCTTACTGCAGAACCGGAACGGCCCCTGTGCGCTCTTGGCCATTGCCAATGGTCTCTTGCTCCTCAGCCGAGTCTGCTTCCCCGTGCATAGGGACGGTGTGGACGATGTGGACGGAGGAGCAGTTGGGCGGGTCGAGGTTGTGCCGTGAAGACCACGAAAAAGGGTCTCTTTTGGGAAGGGACCAGTGCAGCCTTTGGGCCCTGAGGAACCTCGGATCAATAGTAATAGCGACCATGTCACTATTGCATTCAATCGCGCACCGTGTGTTCCGGTGTTCAGTGGATGAGTAGCAGCAAGGTCGCCCGACAGATCCTGTGTTCTTCTGTTTTCATGTATAATATAGGTGTTAATGGTTAGATCAGTGAACAAAACTTCATGTAGAAGCAGGGAGGGTCCCTGTGGAGAAACGAAGACACAGCACACTCACACCATCAACCAAGCACTTTTGTCTAAAATGATTTCAAGACGGAAGAAAACACCACCTGTTCCATCTTAGACTGCGATGTTCTGAACCCTAATCCATCCGGGATTGGCCGGATACGTCCCATGGTCAGCTGGACACGTCATGGGTGTTGATGGCGGAACGCTCCGGTGACCGGAACTCTCGTCCCGAGGCTTCGAGGCGCCTGGAATTTGGGGCAGAGGGAGACGAGCATCAGTTCCTTGGGCCCAGACATCGGTTTTGTTCCGACAGGGTTCGGAGTTGCTGCCTTTGACATGAGAAGGGAGGTGCGAAGTAGGAAGGAAGGAATTGCATCCCATTGTGGGTTTGGGTGAGTTTGTTTTTTTTTTATCGCGGAAAAAACACAGGGTGGGGAGACCTGAGGTTCGGCAACGATGAGATGTTTTTCTTTTTCGAACATCGACCTCTCAGCTGACCAAAGGACATTGGGCCAGGAGGTTGGCCTAGGAGTATACTGCACACTCATGTAGGAAGTCCACCGCCTTAATCTGTTTCTTTCGGTCAATGAGTCTAAGATCAAAAGGATCTATACCCGGACCATCCGCTTTGGGGACACCCGACATGGGCTCCTTCCACTGAAGGGATCTGTGTGGATCACCCGAACAGGATGGTCTTAGTGCATCTGAAACTGGAGCAAAACCAGTGGTGTCTTTGGTGATTCGTTATGGTCAAGCCTTGGTTAATTAGACCCGTCAAGGAAACCGGTCATTTGACCATACCTTTAGAATGGGGCACAATATGACTCAAACATGTTCAAAGTAATTCTGAAATCTATTCTTGATAGTAGTTGTCCCAGACAGTAACCAACATCCAACTTTCCAACCACTATCTTTTTGGAATTCTGGCGAATGCCTCAAAAGGTCCTGGCCTCGCCAAAAGCATGGAAAACCCATGGTGCGCATGGTTTAGTTCACGTGGCTCCGGAGCGTGGAACCACAGTGCAAAGTCTTCTTCTTCTTCTTCTTCCTCTTATACTTCTATTAACATCCCTGTAAACATTTCATCCATATGATCTGTCCCCCCAGGCTCCTGCATAAAACGGTTCTACGAACAACATGACTCTGTTAAAGAGACTCCCAAAGTGGAGGGGCACTCAATTTATGGACCGCCCTTTTTGGGTGGACGCCTATCCATTCTATGGAAAGGCAATCTTCCTACTATAATCTCAGATCAAGCGCTGCTTCAGGTGCTGGACTCCAGCCATTCTATAAGCACAGCATTCTTGAAACAACAAATAACCATTTGGCTCAATGAAAGGCGCAGAAAATAACACATCTAAGCCATTCTGAGCCAGGAAAGAGTGGCACAGGAACCACTGGCCAAGCAAAAATAGTAATCAACAAAGAACATAATTTCGGTAGCTTACTGGTCATGAAATGTCCCAGTGGAGCGCCGAGACATTGTGTTGTTGGAATTTCTGTTGTTCTGAGATGCTGGTTATGGTTGGGTCTATTTTAGGTTGTAGGCGTGCAAAGGTGTCATTTTGGTTGGTTTTGGTCGGTCCGGGCGCCACATTCTATAGCAACAAAATGGATTACCCCAGCTAACAGGATGGACGCCAGCTCACTATAGAATGGGGGGCCCAGACCGACCATGGGAATTTCTTGGAAGATCTATTACCTAATAATTACTACTATTATTGCTACTTCGTCCTTTTATTACTACTATTGTCTTCTTGTTCTGTCGAACAGCTTGCCTGTTGCCTTCCTTTTTTTCCCTCTTGCAGTTGCCATCCACACGTGTTTTTTATACTGCAAACTGCACCTCATGATGAATTTGCTTCACATGCATTTGCCCTAGTATTTGACGACGTCTTGGACCATCTCTTCAATTCCTCACCTGACGAGAAACCGCTCCACACATTCATCAAGGCGACCTTCCGCTCCGTCACTTCTTGGACTCAATTCAAAGATACCGGGAGAGAACACCCACAAAACCCAGGGCAGAACTGCGCTTCCCCCGCACATGAGCCGCTTATAACCCACTGGTCTCGCGGCCCCGCGCCGGGTCTGCGGCCGCGGTTCGGCTCGTCGCTCGAGGATCCGCGGATTCCGCGGAACCCGCTTTCGGCCGCGACCGAGGTAGTCGCGATTTGCTGGGCCGCTTGGGTTTCCTGTGTGACGAGCTCAACTTCAAGGCCATGCAGGACCGGTGGGGTTTCCACCGCTCCGCCGAGCCGAGAAGCGGACGAAGCGGCGCCGATTTGGCGGCCGGTGTGGGATGGTGGCGAGCGAGTGATTCTGCTCAGTTGACTCGGCTGTCTATCACAGGATGATGCAATGATGCAGGAAGGAACAAACAAGCGAACCGAGCAAGTCTCCAATTCGGTCATTTCATGTCAGTTCTGCTTCGTGTCAACCATCGGGTGCTTCTTTTTGGTCTCTGTAACTAGACAGATCAGATGGAGTGAAGGTAAAGAAAGGTCGGAACATGGCAGAACAAACTGCCCGGATGAAAGATGTACTGTACGGGTTATTACCGATTCGACTCGATGCATCATCAATTGTTTGTTTGCCCCCCCTTATAAGCTTCAACAACCACCCTGACTTCGGCGCAGGAAGACTTCACTCTGGCACAGAAGGTGCGAGACGTCATCAGTTGCAAGGCCGCATCTTTTGGGAAAGTCGAACTGGTCTTCATGGGACTTACAGTGGAAGAACCGGAGTCTAAGGTCTAAGCGTCCTCTTGTTGCTAAACCTCCGAAGCAGCGCCGCCTGGCCGAGAGAATCCCTCGAACCTCGAACCTCTTCGAGGCAGTGCAGATTTCACACCGATCAGTGAGACCGAAGGGTCATAAGATGCCACAAATTTTGGAGAAAAATTCTTGGTACAACGCTTCAAAGGACCAAGGGATACCAAGGGCCCAAGACTCCCTACCTAGGGCCCAATCACCACCGATTTCACCGTCTGATTTCTCCTGAAAAAGTACAAGGCCCACAGGATCTGACATGTCGAAGATGAAGATGGATCCTGAAAATGGACCTTTGGAAGACTAGTGGACCCTCCGGTTTCCAGCTTCCATGTTCCTCTTCGGCGATTCAATGGACTAGGAGTGCCGGATTCAACCCACTGCCCAGCTGACAGGACAAATTCTCATCTCATCAGAGTGGGTTAGTCTCACCCAAGCTGATTGGGTTGGGCACTAAGAACCTCAACATCCATTACGTAAGATCATGTCTTTGTCACCTTCTAAGAACACCATCCGCATGTTCGCAAGCCCCGACGGACGAGCCATATGTGGATTCCCAGGAGGGCGCCTTCTGAGAAGGTGGCAGTCCCTACAGGGTGATCCCCCAATGGCAACGCTGGCCCTTCGCGCCTGCAAATGACGCTTCTTTGCCAACAAAAAACATCATCTGAGTCATAATCCCCAAGACAGACCTCCCTGTGGTGGTTGGTGGTGTTGGATTTGATGCGCAAGTGAGGTTCCCTGCCAAAGCTCTTGGACGGTTTACTGGTGCCTCAGCCCGTTTTGGAGCCCGTGGAGCTCGTGGAGGGTGAACGCTTGTGGTGAACCCGCAGGGAGACTGGTCTTTTGGAGGAATGGTCAAGATGAAGACGTGGGAAACCTGAAACCTCAGATCTGGGGATCCAATTGACAAAAGATGGCAGTGATGAAAGTGGCAAGGACCACTGGAACTTTGGAGGCCCAGAAAGCGGGCGTCTTTGTCTTCAAGGCTGACTTAGGACATAGGACGCGACCATGGATTGTTGCCTTTGTGTTCTGTGAGGCGAGTTGGTGTACTAGAGTGGGGGCTCACTTGGGTCATAAAACACTTGCAATGTGTTCCGCCCTCAAGGGCCGGATGACTCTGTCACTCTGACAGCAATGGCCTCCACCCTAGTAGCGATCGCCTCCAACCTACATGGAGCCAGTGTATTAGGTATGTCAGTAGCAATGACTTACTAGCCATCAATCCCTTTTGGTGTGACAATCCGACCATCCTTAGATAGAGCTCTAGGATGCATAATAATTATGGGGATTCGTTGCACAGATTATATACATGGATGTTCCGAATGTTCCCCAACGAGTTGAAATGCTCAGTTTTTTACACCCATTTTGGGTAGACAGTTGCAGACATTGTGCGGTCGTGCCTGGGAAAGTATAACTACTGTAGATCGGGCGAGAGCTTTCAATGGTCCTTTTTGCAGGTGCCATTCAAACCAGATAGAACATGATAGAAGTACTCTTCTCCAGGATGTTTCGAAATGATAAAGTTCCCCCATGAAAATGACAAGACAATTATTTGTTTTCATGTGTTTTCACTTTAGTTGAAATTTGGAGACTTTGAATTTCTGTAGGATGTTGCAAGATTATGACGGTTTTCATCAGAAGATGACCCCTGGGCACCCAGGTCAACTGCGACTTTGGTGCGTGCGGCTCCTTCGAGGACTCTTCCAGCCACCCGCTCACGGGACTCATCGCCACGGGAAGCTCACGATGATCTACTAGCAAAAATGGCCTCCAACCTCATAGCGATGGCCACCTAGGAGCTTCTTGCTACGTTCGTAGCTTCTTGTTGCTACTTTCTGAAAATCAACCAGGAGACGGATGCAAATTTGTTGCCTAGTTCGAGAAACCCGATTCCTTGGTTTTCCAGCTTCGCAGAGCTTAGCTACCAGGCTGCTGCTCTCCCCACACAGTCCGATTCGGTCGAACGAAGGATGTCCGGGACAGTCTTAGATGTTCATCAGCTGGTTCATCGAGTGTGCATGAAAGGCCTCCATCCCCGAGAAGATTAACTTAGAACATATTAGAACCTGAACATATCTGAAATTGAACCTCTGGAAGACTAGCTGACCCTCCACAAACCAGTGGCTTTCAGATTCCATGTTGTGTAGGTGAAAGGCATTATATTCGCTGCCCGCTTCACTCCCGGTCAGGCGATTCTCGCCATGTTCTTTTCCATTTTTTCCACCAGGGTGGTTGAGATGACAGTTGCAGGGGTATTTTGTACATGAGGGTACAAGGTTTCACACTGATTTGTTCGTATCTTCGGCTGAGTCAGCTGAGGACAATTTCCTCCACAAAAAGTGGTCGAGTGTCCCATGGAAACCCCTTTTTGCTTCCTCGGCCACTCTTTCAAAGGTGCTTCCCTCAACCGTCCTCAACCCCATGATATTGTTTTATGAAAGCTCTTCTTTTGGGCACAAAAATTGGCCGGCTCAGGTCGAGGACTCTTTGAACTCTTTCGGCTGCAGCTCTTCCACGTTTGGGTCGACCTCGAGGTCCGAGCGAGCGTTGCGCTTCAGGTCCGGCTGAGGTGGAGCAGGTGTCAGTTGGACAACCTTAAGCAGCGTCTCCTTTCTAGAAAGGAGTGAGTCAGGAGAGAACATGTCGTATGTTTGTTTTCAATCACACTCCCAGGTTTCTGCAGTCAAGGTCATGGTTGCTTCAATCAGCCCTTGGGCACTGTCCAGGTGCACAAAGTGGTACCGACGTGGAATGATTTGAGCCCCAGCAGCAGCGCAGCAGCTCATGGCAGGGTTGGCAGGATCAACGTCTAAGAAGATGCAACGTCACTGTTCAAATGCAAACAACACCAGAAATCGGTCAGTGACTAGTTAGGCCCATGCTTGAACACGGAACTTGAACGGGGACAAACCGACAATCCAACGACAGGCCGATGTTCCATGTGAATCTGAGATGCTTCTCCATTGAGTGACTTCTCCGTAGCTTCACTCACCAACTCTGTTTGGCCTTGGCGCCAGCCGCCTGAAACTTTGAACCAATGCCTCATGGTGTTGCTTTGAACCAATCCAAAGCAATTCATCCAAATTTTAAAAAAGAAACGCAGCGGCCCAGTTCTCGGCCGAGCAACCGAGGATGGACTTGTTAGCCAACTCAGCGGAGCTGCGAGCTGAGGAGCGGAACCGCGTCCGGTGGCAATGTCCCGCGGGACATCCGCGGGAATGGAGGGCTGGGCTGCCCGGCGCAGCCAGGATGGCGCCTTTTTTTCCATTTGTACACAGGATATGGCTGATTTACACACGGTTTTATGATGTTTTATGCGAACTCCACCAAAAGAGCATGGTGTTTGATTGAGTTTAAACATGTTGGAAGCCTCCATCAAGACAGAAGAGAAGAGAGAACAGACACAGATTGATGGGACCACCTGCCTGACCCTCCATTTTGTCCTCCACTGCAAGTCTTTCTCATGTCGCAGGACCGGAGAGCGTTCTCCGAAGAGGAGGAGGAGACTCTGACAAAGGCCGCCCTCCTGGAGGAGTGCGACGAAGACTGCGTCCGACGCGTTCGATATTTGGTGTGTTTGGGATCTCCGAGCCTCGCTTTCCGGGATGGATAGATGCTTAACATATAATAGATGCTTATCTGGATGGATAGATGCTTAACATAAATATATATATATATAATTAGATAATCATTTATCATCATTCAATTCATCTTTAAAATTAAGACCTGGCATAGCAACCTTTCTTTTGTAAACATCTTATTAAAAAGGCAGGCGGTTTTCTGGTCGAGATTCACTGGATGTCCACGTCTTTTCCAGTCTTCGTGCTCCGCTGGAGGAGTGGTTGGAGGCGAATCGCGCCCAAGCCACTCAACGCGGCATCCTGGAGTTGCAGAAGCAGGCGGAGAACTGGGATCCGGAGAATTCTGGAGGGAAGTGAACTGGCCAGAAGAAACATCAGGCGAACACATCAGGGTTCAGGCACAGAATCCTGGAGACCCCAACCCTGCATGAGCTCCCTATGTGTTCATGCCCTGAATGGGCTCCGGCTGGGGCAGGAGTGGCTTTCGCGCGTTGTGAGACCAGAGTGAGCGATCTAAACGGACGATCGGCCCATTGGTTTTTGAGGCAAAGGAACAGCCTGATCGATTGTGGATGTTGAGCTCCCACAGCTTAGCATTGAAACTGTCAGGTGAGCTTGTAAATTGTTGGTTTGCAAACTTGTGGCTTCCCAAACAATATGGAGTCCGAACCACCAGAGCAGAGGACGCATGTGGGTGAAATTTGGCTGCGTCGTATGGACAAAGCAGCCGGTCATCTCACGGTGAGGCACAGTCGTGGGTCCCAGTGTCCCATTGTTTTTGCCGTGATTCAACCACACCATGACGACGTCTGGAGGGTCGTTAATTGAAACGTGTTATCAATTTGACATTGAGCGCCCAAGTTAGACGAGTCACTTTTGACATTGCTTCATCTTCGAGAGAGAGAGGGCGAGTTAGAAAGCATTTGCGCTTTTGCTTGGTGGATTTTTGTGGCGATGTTGGAGATGAATCAACAAAGACCTTCTTGCAGAAGAAATATCAAGCATGACCATGGAGATGCCATCTTCTCCCCCAAAACTCCAAGTTGATTAAATCAAGCTCGAATCCAATGGCATTGAGGTTGGAGAGGCCATGTGGGTCAAGGCCGAAGTTCCCCAAAACATCCCAAAGCCACTTGGCTTCACCTCCGGCATCGATGATGTCGAACCATCGAGGTTGGGCTGTGAAACAGACGGGGAACCGGCTGCCGACCCCTCTTTTTCAGGTGAAGACGGGGGACATTTGTGTGCTCTTCCGGAACAACCACTTCTGCACCGCCACACGGCCAAATGCGGAATGGGGCGTTTGGGCGCAGAAGGGTCAGACCGCCAGAACCTCGCGACACAGGGATTCCAAGTCGGTTCGTGCCCACAATGGTAAGCTGGAAGGGGTCCTCCACAAACCATGCGGGGTTCGGTTTCTCGGTTGTTCTCTACTCCATCATCCCTCGCCATAGGTCTTGCGGGGTTCCAGGACAATATATACAGAAAGCCAAAAGGTGGTGTTTCTGCCTCATACGTTGGATCGTGCACTTCCCCCCAAACGTGTCACATACGGAACCTTGAATGTATGGAAGACCCACGCAAACGCACTGAAGATGCACAGCATGTAACCGTGTAACCCTGCAGCGACAGGGCTCTTCTCGCCAGCTACCAAGGCCAGTTTGAGATATTCTTGGAGACACCCCAGCTGGCGATTCTCCCAGGGTTTCCAGTGGTTTCCACTTCAAATCCTATCACAGAAACCACTTTTTTACCGCTCTCCCACGGGTTCTCTCTCTAAGAAACGACTCCGTTGGCCAGTGCTTTTTCTCCAGCTTTCAACGACGCTGGCTCGCCTTTCCACCATGGAAGTCGGCCGAACTCGCGGTCAGGTGTACAAGCCTGGCCACAACTCACCCTGCCCTCACTGCTGCATGCTGCTCACCGACGAGTGCCACTCGGTTATATACGACGCGAGGCCGGCGACCCACGAAAGCAATGACACGCCGAGGATGCGGCCGCAGCTGTGGAGTTGGAAGGGGGCCAAAGACATGGAACACATGGGAAAACATCAAGGCATTCGACATTTCCACAGTGGGTACTGTATATATGAGACGAGCTGTTAACTTACTTTGTAATTACCTAGGCCTAGAACCCATATCACCTTGGTTTTGATAGGAAAAGACATGAAAAGACTAGAAAAGACTATTCTGTCTTGTTTTGACTCCAAACCAGGGGGTCACTCAGGTCACTCAGGTAGTGTATACCGCTGACCACACGAATCACTGAGAAGATCATAAGTTTCAGGGATCGAATCACACTTGACTTCGATTGAGGTGAACATGAAGGGCTTTCTCCCTGTGGATTGTCCTGTGGATCTCTTTCATCTGAGGCTTCTCAGACGAGTCCTCGCCAGTGTGGGAGATGCTCAGCTGATCTCACCGGATCTCACAGAGAGGTGATCTTGGGAGACCCCCATGGCCCTGGCTGGGTAATTACTGTAGATCTATGAGGGAGTACCCTGACGCCCCTTGATTTCGCCGGGGGAGAGAGGTCAGTATGAGGTAAGTGACCATAGGGCTGGGCTTTTTCTCCTGACACATTCCCGAACCTTTGAAGGGGCGTCGGCTGCGTGGGAGGTCTTCACATCCATTTTCTCACCTGGCCACAGGGCCGCGCACCCTGGGCCGCCCTGGGAGGACAAAACCAATTCACGGGGAAGAAGAAAAGAACTGCACACGTTCCTGGAAAAAAGAGGAGACCCCTGGAAGTTCGATGATTCCTCATGCTTCCTGTACAAACCAGAGGGTCTTTTTATTCTGCGTCTAGACTTTCAACCCGAATGGGTTTGATGTCCAGCATCTTTGGTGAGTGAGAAACAATAGCAGGCCGATATGGGACCTCCAACTTGTAAGTTCTTTGGATGATCTATTTGGAGCAATACTGAGAATGCTTCCCAACAAAAACACGGTTCTAAGCATTTGTTCCGACCAGGACCAGGTGGAATAGGATCATGCTTCCCAACCCTTATTTACTTTGTGTGATGACCAGTTTAGTCATTGAATTAATTTCACCATGCAGTGTGCCTGAAAAGAACACCTCCCAGACCACCTAGACAATTGTTGTACTTTTGGGCTTTTGGCCGCAAATCCACGCAAACAGCCGCACACACTGCACACACGGCAATTCGTGCCATTTGCATCAAACGTGCGGAAATATATAGAGTTTGTTTGCTTGTTGTAAGCCTGGCCTGGCATGAAGGGTCAATTGCTTATGATTAGTTTGGCTGAACTCTGGGGAGATGACGGCAGGGAAGCAGTCCGGAAAATAATGCAACTGACTTTTTTCCACTGACCCACTGACATTGTTGGATGGGCGCACTTGGACGTTTGGAAAAGACATGACAGCATATTGAAAGGAAACAAAAGCAGAATGGAAGAAACATGAAAGCAGAATATACGAGTTGAAAGCAACACACATCAACATGAAAGCGAGCAAAACAAATGAAAAGCAACAAGATGCAACAAGAAAGCAGAGTGAAAAAATCTGAAAGCACAAAAACAGCGGCAATTCATTGCTTTCATTCATTTTGAAGAGGAGATAACATATTATATCGCCCTCTCAAAGTCATTGAACTGAGCGGCTTGTTGTCGGTGAGCTTATTGGACAATATATCCCTAAAAAGAGAACCATTAGCATAAACAACACGCCCTCAGCAAAAATAGAAGAACTGCCCGCATAGAAAAAGGTCACGAAGTGAGCAAAAACCGAACTGCCAGACCTCCAGACTCCCTACAAAAAAGGGAACTATGCACATTAAGAAGAAGGAACTACTCCCCCAATACCTTTTGTGTAGGTGGAACTATAGGGACTCTAGAGCTGTGTTTATCGTTTCGTCGAAGGAAACCATGCAAAGAACCAATCAATCAAACAGGTGACATCCTAGGCAGCGGATGTAAACTGTCCAATCGCCAACAACCGCAGTCCCTCAAAGAAACCAAGCACCTGGTAGACACAGTTTGGAACATGTTCCTGTCACAAATGATCTTTGGTTTCATTGTTTGGTTTCAGTCTTTGGCTTCGTTTCTTTCGTATTCAGGTCTTCATATGTTGCAGTTGTTCTAGACCAGTTTTCGATCAGTTTGTTTCCTCCGACAGCAAAGAACACGTGGAGCTCATCGCTGGCGGCTAGTTGAGGGGATTCCAACCCTTTTGGGAGGGTTTTGGTATGTTTTGGTTAGACATGAAAACAATTACTTTCTTAAACGTCCTGTTTGTTTAAACAATGCACTAAATTGTCCACAATCTCCACCTGCACCTTACTTTTTGTCCATCTGAACAATCTTCACTCGAAAAATGTAGACTCCACAGACCTCGATCGACCTGGTCGAAGTTCACCGCATTCCCTCACTCCATGTATGATCATATGTGCCAATATAATCCTATATACACTAGCATCCTATATATATATATATAACCTCTATATATGCCTCTATTGACCCCAGGTCAACCACCCCAACTGATCCGCCAATATGGCAGACGTGGAGTGTCTCCAACTGACCGAGGACCTTAGTCTTCGGCGAGGGCCAGTTCCTCGATGCGCAGTTCTGCAGCATGGAATCGGAGGCCGAGGAGAGCGGCCGTGTTCTCCACGAAACTGGTTGAGTACAGCTAAAGCTCAGATCGTTCGAGGTGTTGTTTCTGCCCCAACTGCTCGATTGCATGCGCAAGTTTTTTTGCAGTCCAGGTGACTTCTGCACTGGATGGATGGAATCGTTCACCCACCCGGTGCTGTGAATCGATGCTTGCGGCGCTTGTTGTTTGTCCTTCAACAAGAATGGTCAGTGGGCGGTGAGTCTGTGGGTGGTTCAATATGGTTCAATATATGTTTTTGACATTTCCTAGCGCGGCTTCTTTGTTGTTTTCATCATCATATCGCAAAGGATGCCTGTGGCAGGAGATTGGCAGCAGAACAAAACCAAACTCCTTCGGTGAACGTGATGAATCTCCGAATCTCCGCAGGTTCTGCCTTTGCTTCTCTTTTGGGGGGCCTACCCACAGGTGTGAAGGAACCATTACCAAAATCATATGAACAATAGGAATAACAAAGCCATTGGGTGTGACTTCTAGGTGAGGTGACTTTGGGTGAAGCCACACCCTATTTCCCACTGTTTTCATCGAAGTGACTTTGGTGAAGCCTGTCAAGCCGCCTGTCGAGCCGCCTGTTTTCGCGGGGCGTGCGTTCTTCGAGGATGCGAAGAGCGCGTGGCCTCGCTTGGATAAGAGGAGAGATGCTCCAAGCGTGGCCTCCTGGTGTCAGAGACGGAAAGAAACACTTGTTCAGACGGACTCTCGGAGTGAGTCACATGGAGAGATCTAAGCTTCAAGCAACAAAGGTATGGGGTGGTCACCGGGTGGTTGTTGGTCATTCGGTGGTCATAGCTAAAAGGAACCAAAGAAAACAATCAGTTGCTACATCCAATTGCTGCAAGGGCTTCAGCATTTGTTTCAATCCTTCTCAGGAGTCATTTTGGACTCCGGAGGGCGCCCACCGCACCGATGGGCCTTCAGGAGGAAGAACACGGGGATCTACAACTGCAACTGCGGCAAGTACTTCAGTATCTTGGCTTACAAGGTAACTAATCAAAGAAGATCGCATACAAATCATGCTGCAAGACACAGTAAGTCAATAGATGGTTAATAGTAGCTGTAAGCCAAGTCGGGTCGTGGAACTTTGCCTCCAAAAATGAGTCAACATGTCTCCGGACTGTCCATGTCGTTCATCCCGTTGGGGGCCACACCAGCCTGTGGGCACGCACTCAGGTACGCTGAATGGGTTGCTGTGCCATCGCAAGGCCACAGGCCATTGAGAGATCCATTGCGGATGGAACGAGTTCCAGGGTAGGTTCAAGTTGCTATCAATGTAGTCAACTCACTCAACTCAATCCACTCAACCTTGTTTGTTGTTGCTATATAGAATTACCTACTGTTGAATGACAGGCACTTCTTGTCACAAAGAATCATGGAGCGTCCACCAGGCTGGGGTGTATCTTGCAGAAATGACTGACTTAAACTTAGTCGAGGTTATTTGGATGGTGCGAGAAACAACATGAAGAACAGACAACTGCAGCATATTACATGTATTATTCTGTTTTGGGGTGGTTTGGATTGATTCTTACCTAAAAAACCTCATACCTGTTTGTTTGCACTTGGTGAAGTCTCTCATTTTTGGGATGACCCGAACATATTCTTGCAACCTTTCTTCCTTTCTACCTATATTATATGAGTTGATGCTAAGATATACGAGAAGCGAAAGTTCGCTCTTGTTTTGTAGGGAATTTGCTTTCAGGTGCTCCATGTTCCACCTCCTTGTTTACATTAGGGCCTGATTAGGTGATAACACTGTCTTTGCTTGCCAAGTAGGCTAAGCACAGGTGCCAGATGGTCTAAGCACTAGTTTCATGGTTCAAAGCGAGCCTGTTCATTGAAGATTTAAAGAACAGGAGGAACCGGTTGCCCGGCCAATGATATGGAAAAAACAACTCGAGGAACTCAGCCAATGGTGGCGCATCATGGCACCAAAAAAACGGAACCTGAGTGACCTCATTTCTGCACCAACTACCTCAGAATACGGTCCAAATTCCCATCAAACCGGTGGTCCTGTCTTCACTCTAAGCACTTCAAGTCCCTCGGCACGCAACAGTCCCTCGCCTTGGGACTCCGACCTCGGCCACGTTCTCCGCGGACACGCGGCCGACTCTCCGACACCAGCGGCACCAGCGGACAAGACGTCCGGCCGTCAGCGTGCGAGTGCTGGCTGAGCAGTGAGAAAAGTCGCAGCACTTTGTGAACGAAAGGTGCTCAGGATGTTGTTTCTCCTCCTTGATTTGACCCAGGACGTTGTGAACGAAATGTTGTGCCGGAGTCCACTAGCTGGTTTCATGTTTGCTGGATTCGCACACATGCCACTTGCACCACCCCCCACGACTCTGCACATGGAGCCCAGAACTTGAAGCAGTTTCTGCCAGAGAACTCGTGATGGTTTCCAGGTGTCCAGTGTGAACTTGGTGGACGCAATGCGTTTTCACGTCAGCCGTGCTGGCACGTGCCAGGTATATCATCCGAGATGATGGCAGCCGAGTGGATTTGAGGCCGGGTTTTTCTCTTCCAGCGCTGACAGCTGGACGCCACGTGACAGCTGGACGTCTGACAACGGACCGCGTTTGTCCGTGCATCCTGACACCTGACAGATTGGTCCAGTGGGGTGTCCGAACGAAGCGGGTCCAATGAAGCATACATGACTATACTGTATATATATATATACTCTTGCATGGATTTGGGGATGATGTCCTGGACTGAAAAGCTGATGAAGTGTCCTGGACTTTGCTTTTCATCATGTTGCTCACCTTGGCACACATCTCTTTCGGAAGAGAATTGAAGATGTTACTGGGCTCGTACGCGGTACGAGTAATCTTACATTTTTTGCCCCGTGATCAGCAGATGCAAGATGACATTGTGCCACTAAACTCAGCTGTTTCTTTCAATCTTGCCGACATGACTCAACCCAGCCTTTTCATGTAAAGCACAACTTCCTATCCATCATCGCAACCCTGGTACCGGGTAGAACAGCAGTGAACACCGGGTGGTCGAAGCACCGAAAGCGCGGTTGACAGGTGGGTGAACAAGGACTTACGCTCGCAGATCGAGCTTCAGCCCGGCTGCCCGGAGCCGGGGCGAAGCGGCGCTCTGCCCTGCGGAGCCCGGAGCACGGGACGGTGTGAACAGACCAATCCCTTGAAACAAAAGACGCCCTCACGGATTGAGATGTTCAGTGAAAATTCTATCAGAAGTTGTAAGTCCTTTTTTCAGTGGCTCTCAGATCTCGCTTTATGGCACTTTATGGCCTTTTATGGCTGTAAAGCATCGATTCTTGACATGTACACGGCCTCAGAAAGAATAAGGAATGGCTCATGGACAGAGCAATTGACCGGGCCAAGCCGGTACTGGCTGTCAAGTTGGGAAGACGTCCACGGCCGCCTTTCGCTTCTTCGATGAGTTATATAGTTCACTTCAATTTCATTTCAATGGAGTGGAGACATTGATCTCAGCAGCAAGCCCCAGTCGAACATGGAATCCAGACTTCCGCAGGAGCCCTGACATGCAGGACTGACATGCCGATGAAGATTCAACTCAGTAACTTCCTCGAAACTCTCCGTTTTGGGGACTCTGCGCGCCGCCCTGCCGGGCCCTCCCCGTTGGACCCTCTGGACCCGGCGGGCGGACCTGGAACGTTCCCACTGAGGTATGGTTGGCGCGTGGAGCGGCACATGGTCGATGGGGACTATGCCACATGGTTTGGACAGAAAGGAGTGACCAGGAGTAACCAAGATCAAGACTTGTGGAGGTCAAGACTTGTGGCTGCAAGAGTGTGGTTCTTTTCACCATGTGGTCGTAACCCGGTGGGTTTGTCCGAGGGTCTCGTTAACGACACGTCCGGACAGAGGTCTCGTTTCGTCTACCTCGTGAGGCAACCGTCGACTCGTGAGGCACCCGACTTGTGAGCCCGTTGACTCCTGTGCACTCCATTTGGAACATTTAAGACACAGATCTTAGCTTGCCTTGAACGGACCAGCATGAACACACCCCACACGCGGCGCCTGCATGCGCCTGCGGCCACCAGACTTGTTTTGTCTATGGTATTGGTCAAAAAATAATGTGAATGAAGAGTCTTGGCTGGCCTACTGTGACTGTGAGATACTGTGAGGATGTGACTGTGGCCCAAAACACAAGAACCCTTCAGACACTCAGACACATCAAAAAAGATGTAAAGTTGCACTCAAATAGATATGGAAAGCACAGAAACAATGCCACACATGGAACGGAATGCATAATTCTCAGCAATTTATTAATTACACCCCATTTTCTCAGACTTTTGAGGTCACTGTTATAGTCTTGGTTTTTAGCTCGGTCTTCCACCCTGAAAACGGGAGAATGAGCTGCATCCTGACCATTCCCATCGCATCCCATCGCGGTACGCCCGCTACGAACCCACGTGACGTGCCTTCGGCGTTCCACCGTGTTCCACCGTTTCGTGAAACGCAACTCCTTCTCGAAATTCCTAAAGGGGCAAGGTTTATTGCACAGTGAAATGCACCAATCACCCCAACGTTTGAATCTATATGTACACCCTGCAGGTCCAAAGACCCAGTAAATTCGGATCCTTTACATCACGGAGTGGCCAGTAAGATGAGGTCTTTGACCTGTTAGGGACATGTTGGTTCCTCCCCCCCCCAAAAAAGGAACGTCAAACCAACCCGAGCAAGCAGATGATCCCAACTGCTTTGTTCTGCTCAGTTCTACGGTGTATCAACGACAACACCGGTGCACCGAGGTGATCTTCAATCGACAGCCTTCGCTGCACAAGATGAGCATGATGGGACACCGAGCCAAGGTGCGAGCCCAACACGGGTGCGAAGCAACCGGGCGCCTTGCATGGAGGGTGAGCCCCCCCACAAATGGCTGGATGCCCCACAAACATCACTACACAATTCTGTGTTTTTTGTTGAGGTATCTTGGGTTGAGCGTGGGAGTGGGTGTGGCGAATTCATGGTGGCCGTGACAGTTGTTGCTGTTGCGGAGGTGGGGACATGTAGAGACAGATTCCATCAGATTCCCAATGTAATGGTCACATGAAAGCCTGGATCTTTTGGTGGACATGGAATACCAATCCAGGTAAGTAGCTGAACTCTTTTCACTATTTTCACTTAAGTCACAGTTTGTTTCTTTTTTTGCGTTTTGATGTTTTTGGTTTGTTCTCGGAAAGGTCAGCAAAAAGCAACCACAAGGCTCCAGCCTTTGTCTCTAGGAGGGGTCACCGGCAAAACTGTTTGTTGGGGGGGGCGATCGAAAAACAAGGGCCTCCAGTTTTGAGTGTTACAGCTTGTGTTTGTACAATTTTGTACATTGTGTTGTTGTTGTTGTTGTTGTTGTTGTTGTTGTTGTCTTACCGTTCTACCGTTTTTGTGCTGTTGTTGCTTTAGTTGCTGTCCGAACCAAGGTCTACTGTTTGATCTTGAGATTTGCTTGTCGGGGTGTTACGATCCGGTGAGAGGCTTGACACAGAGACTGCAGGAGTCTGATACTCTTAACGAAATGACTCCTGCAAGTCATGAAAGATCCTCCAGTTGTTCTTCAGTGTTTCGGAATGGCAGACCATGCCCCCAGTGAGTAGGTCACGTTGAAAAAGATCGGAAATGGGAGAGCATCAGCTCTGACGGGTTTGGCATCAACGTGTTGAACCAGGTGATGCCCTTTTCCACCTTGAGATTCAACTTGGCCCCGGGGGCTCAGATGGGATCCGGAGGGATCCGGGCGGTGACGTCGGACGGCTCCTCACGGTGAATGAATTTTTGGGGGCTCCGATGAGACCGTTAGATGGACTGGTCGATCCTCTAGTGACCGTGAGGATTTGGGAGACTCATGTTTTTCAAACATAAGATTATCCAATATATTTATATATATATATATATCTATTAGAAACATTACTGATCTAAAGGCCACTGATAGAGAGACTAGTCTATTCTTGTTGATATATATATATATATATGTGAATTTGTTGGCATGGCACAGCAACAACAGGCAACAAGAACCATGCTGTCTATGACATGTAGAGTTGGAGTTAAATGTGTCTTTCTGTGTGCCCTTGGTTAACTCCCTATCCAACTACTATGGAAGTGGAACACAATTTGTCCCTTGTTTCAAGGCAGCTGTCTTTCAAGGGTCCCTGCAACCAAACCATCATCATCATCATCATCATCATCATCATCATCATCATCATCATCATCATCATCATCATC